TTTTTATTGATAATTTTGCTAAAATCTTCTTTTTTCTTTAGCTATTTTTTGTGTCCGAATGATCGACGGAAAGAGTTGTAAATTATTGTAAATCTGTTTTTCATAATATAGCTGCAACTATATTTCTTATATTAAAGTAGTTGTTTCTATTTGCTAGTTTTTGCTTTAATTTTTTACTATCTATTAGTTTTAATATTGTCTCTGTTCTTTTACTTACCAACTTTAGTGTTATAGACTCTTCTGATTTTACTTGCATCAATATTTGGCTTTACTTATATTACTATTTTCAAATTATTTCTATTATATATACTTTGTAATACTTATATATCTATTCTGTTTATTTTTGTATATATTTGTTTATTTGTTTTTTTTATATGCTTATGTATTTCAAAATGATCTACAATTCAATATCAACACTATTTCTTTAAAATTTTTCTTTTTAGTTTTTATTTTGCCAAGCTTGTTTTCTTTCTGCTTGCTATGTTTTTTATTTTTTTTTGTTGTTATATCTGCTAGATCTGTTTTAGATTAGAAATTAAAACTGTTTAATTATTTAAAAATTACTTCATAGTTCTGAACAGAATTATGTTGATTATGGGCTAGAATTATTTGAATATACATATATTTCGTATTGTATTGAAGATGATTTAGTACTGTATTATATAAAATTTTGAGATAGTATGATACAGTATGAATGTATATATATAAAAGATAATTTAGTACTGTATCATATAGTACTGTATTATATAAAGTTTCAAAACAATACAGTACATCACTTATAATAATATAATAAGTGATTAGAGCCTTTTGTACTAAATTATACATATAAAATGTGAAGTAAAGATCTAATACAGTACATACGTACATATTACAACAATGTTACACAATCATAATTACACAAATTACACAAATTTAAACTAATTGCATTACATATAAAATTTTATTTTATATAAATTAGTCAAAAATTTTATTTGTACGTAGTATATTTCTTTCTTGTACATACATATGAATTAATATTGAAATAGCTTACCAAATTAGTACAAATCAACCTGTTAGTTCTGATGATGAATAGGATTACCTGTTAATACAAGTCAGCATGATTATGATTTTGATGACAAACGAGGATTTGATGATGAACAGGGTTTTGTTGATGAATGAGATTCTGACAATGAAGAGGGTTTTGTTAATGAACAGAATTCTAACAACAAACAAAATTCTGGTGATGAATGAGATTCTGATTCTTTGAATGAGGATAGCCAAGATCCAAATAATCCATTAATGGTATAAATTTTAAGAAACATAATAAAAAATTTTGTGATATTAAATTACTAAATTATATTATAACGATAAATTATATAGTAAAAGTTCAGTAAACAAGTAGCTGTATTTACTTCTGAAGAAATTGAAGAAATTGAAATAGTATATAACATGATCGATTTGAATTTTACAAACTAACTTAGTCAATTAATTAATTGATCAGTCAACTAATCGATTAATTAACTAGTTGAAATTAATTGATTATATAAGAATATTAATCTGCTATTGCAGTTGCCACTTTATATATATTTCTTTTTTTTTTTATTCACCTAATCGATTAGTTGGCCAATCGATTAGTTAACTAATCAGTTAATTGATTGGCCAACTAATTGATAGTTGAATAAAATGATTTACTAATACTAAAATTTTAATATTATATAGTCCCAATTAATTAAATTAGAGAAAGTGAAGCCAAAAATTGTTGCTAAAATTAAATATTGGCTTGAATTTGAAGAATATCCAGACTTCTGAGGATGGTGTTGCTTGTATTTATAATGTAGCTAGTATAGATACTGAAAAAGCTCTTGAGATTTTTGATCTTAAAAATATTCAGTATTCTTATAAAGATGGAACCACCTGTAAAAGTGTTTACTGCCCTTTTTTAAATAAAAAGTTTATAAAGAAACAAGAAAATATTGTGGTATTAAAATATGCCAATTTGCAGCACCTGAATTAATAGCGATGACACATACATCAGTAGACTTTGACAACAATCTTTTCAAAAAAATATTTGAGGCAAATGATTTGTCTTCAGATACAAATATGTTAAAGTAAGTTATATTTATTATATATATTTATAGTACATATATATTTATATATATAATATATTAATAAACATATATTGATTTTTTTTTTATTAGTGCATTTGCTGCAGCACATAAAGTACCATGCAGATTTATTTATCCTCAAACCAGTATTCGATGTAATGGCAAGCCTAAACCTAAATCTTATTATCAAGTTTTTATATTATTTAAGCTATTGTCAATTAAAATATACATACGTACAAAAAAATTATGAAAAATTAATTATGACATAGGGCGTTATTGATTAATTGTCTAGTTTATTACAATACCATGTTATAATTAATCTTGTGTAATGATTTTTTTAATCTATATACCATATTATGTTTTGATTGATGATACCTAATAAAAATTTATTAATTTAAATTATTATCATTATTATTTATAGCAAGAAGGTAATACTTCTACACCTACTTATTTTATCGGTTGTGAAAATTTTAAAAATGATGAACATGGCCATTAGTATCAAAGTTTATCTGAGTGAATTAATGTTAAATACTTAAAAAAACTCTTTTACAAATATACATATTATAGTGATGGAATTATTGGAGAAGTATTTATATTAAATTAAATTATTTAATAGTTAAAACTCAAATATATTAATTAATACTAATATGATATTTAGATTTCAGATTCTATTCGACATTGCTACACAGTTCATCCTTACAGTGCACAAGCAAAAAAATGCTGTATATATTTTTTTATTGTTTATTAATTTTTGTATATATCATTGCCAAAAATTAATTAATTTATATTTATATAGCTTATATTCATACTATTGAAAGTAATGAAGTAGCTCAAGGATTAATTCAAGAAAAATCAGGATGTCTTGTCAAATTCTGGCATTATATGCCTGAAGATCTTGAAAATTGTCTGTATATTGTAATTATGTCATAATATATTTACAATCATTTACCACCCCTACTGTCAAAAATACCTGTAGCCATTCAAAATAATTTAAAAAGTATAATCACAGCAGAGGATATCTTAGATTTAATCGCAAGAAAATTAATTACCCATATGTATTTTTATTATCATTCAGAGCAGCTTCTGATAGTATTATGATATAATTTAAACCAATGATTTTTAAATTCTAATTTGGCAAGAAATAAATTTTTAAATTTTTTATTTTTTGGAATAAAATATTTCAAAAATATATTTATAAGTAGCTGCAGGTTCATTAGTAGAATTTAAAAAATTTTAGATTATATGATTTATATTATTTACATATTCAATAAACTAGTTATATGTTTACTTTTAATTATCATTATATAATAATTTATATTGTATTAAATTACATGATTTAAATTTTTTTTTGGTTAGTGATTTAATTCTAATTATAAAATATAATATTATATAATTTGGTTTGGTTGCACTATAAGTTTTTTAATATTATATTAATTTTAAATTTATTAGGTACATCAATGCAATAATTTCTTAAAGGAGTTCCACTTTCAGAATTATACCCATCATTGAATAATCAATCTAAAATTGAGTATATGATTGCAACAAGGTGTCATGCTGAACATCCATATAGTCAAGATATTATGGATGTTGCATACATGCTTTTAAAGCAAAAACAGGATGAAAAAGATAATTCTTATATTAGATCTATTCATAACAATTATTTAAATTTATATATGATTATATATCTTTATATATAATTGATATTTATATTAATCATTTTTTTTAGGTTTTTTTAATAATGGCCAATATTTAATACTATGTGGTTATAAGAATTAAATGAAATATTTAGCAGATTCCTTGTATTTTGAAATAGATATGAGCTTTAAATGTGTATATAGACCAATTAATGAATGAAAGGTATGTGCTTATGTAGAAAAATATCAAAAAAGTAAGCAGGTTTTAAATATATTACTATATATATATATCAATAAATGATATATGTTAATTAATATAAAAATTATATTTGAAAGCTTTGGTATTTGCATGTGCTTTTACTATCCTTCAAACAGCAGATATATACCAAAAACTATTTGAAGAACTTTTTGCCTGCGTCGAACAAGATTGTAAATACTTGATAGAATTTCAACATATCCACAGTCATGGAATTGGATGTATCTTAGCTGATAAGCATTATGGTCAAGCATTGAGTAAATTTTTATTAATTTTTATTGAAATTATTATAAATATTATATTAACGATTATTCTAGGCTTAGGTCAATATTTAGCTAAAAAATTTCCAATATTTAATGCAGTTAAACATTTAGAACGAATTTATAAATTATGTATTATACATTTTAAAAGATAAAAATTTCTAATTATAAATATTTAAATATATATATATATCTATGTAATTTAATTTATAAATTATCATTTTAGAAATATTCGTAAAAAAGAACAAATAAAGAAATAAAAAAAAAATGTATTCATTGATCGAGAGTAAAATGGCTTATGAAATTATGAATACTCTCAAATTTCTTGAAAAATATGAAGAACCCAGTATTATTGATATGTATGTTTTACAATTATTATACTGCATATATATATAATTTATTAATTATATAAACTTATTAGATTGAGTACAAAACAAAAAACAATCATGGATACTTGCTAGTTTGTCACTTGCTTTTACTAAAATGCTACAAACAATTTAGACTAGTACACTATTCACAACTAATGCTAGAAAATCAGCTCATGCGAATATTAACAGAAATGTGTGTAATTTATCTTTATTGACTGCAATTACCAAGTATGTGTATTAAAAATTAAGATTATGCAATACATATGTATGTACAACTTTTGCATATATTTTGGTATAATATTTATAAAATCGCTATTTTATAATTAAAAATAGAGCCAAAGAATTTGACAAACTTCAATGCAGTTCAGCTTATACATATAAAAAAGCAAACGTACCAGAATCTTATAAGGATAAATCACCCTTACAAAGAACTATAAAATCAGTTAAAAAAACTAGTATGTTGTATATTATTACATCTTTTGTAATTATGTATTATTAATAATGAATTATTAAATTTAAAGACAAAAGCAAATGTTCAAATAAAACTTCGATTTATCAAAAATCTTTAAAAAAAGCTCAAGTTACCAGTGAATCGAATAACATTGAGGAACAAGAAAGAATTTTAAGAATCAAAAATAAAAAGCTCACCATTCAGAAAAACAAAAATAATGAGTTAGAAAAGGAAATAATGTTATGAGAAAAACTTCAAAAACTTTTAAATAATTAAATTTTAATTCTATATTTTGCAAACTGTTATATCAATATATTATATTATATATTTATAAATACTATATATATTTCACTAATGTTAATACTAACAAATGTATTACAATAAAATATTGGTAATATAACATTATTGCTTCTTAATGTTAATTGTGAATGACAAACATGTATTTGAATTAATTACATATTTATTACATAAAATTTCTTAATTTATTGTTATTATCTGTGTAATAAATTAATATTCATGTTATATATAATATTTAAATAAGCTTTGAGTTGTAGATTTTCAGATCGCTTTCAGCATATTTTAGCAAAGTTCAATAAATTGTACTATATTGTATTATTATTTATAATTTTTATTCAATACAGTACAGTATACATTTTTCTTTATATAATATGAAAAGATATACTGTACAGATATATAATATAGTACATCTAAATTTAAATACAGTACAATACTTTTAAAAACAAAATACAGTATGAAACTTTTGCACCCTGAATTATTTTAATGCTAGCCAAATTAAACAATTAAACAATTAAGAAAAATTTTAGGTAGTTTTAATCCTTATTTTAGATGTTCTTTCTTTTTGTTTAAGTCTTTAACTATAGTTTTAATACTAGTTTTTATATAAAATTCAATTTTCTTTTTTGTGGATTTTGTGTTTTAGTGATTCTATAACTTTTATTTAATTATTAAAATTAGTTTACTTTATATAATTTTTTTTATAAATTTTTTTATTTTTTTCTCTTTGACTTGTCTTGCTGAAATTTTTCTGTATGTTCTTCATATTCCAAACTATTGTTCTTCATATTTACATTTTTCTGAACCTTGACCTCTCTCAGTCTATACTTTTAAACTTTTCAAAAGTAACAGTTACACTGACCCCTGCTAGAACTGAAAGGTTTTGCCAAGTTTTATCAAAAATTGGCTATCATCATAAGTTCATATAGTATCTCTTATTGTCAGACTTTTGGGCTCACATTACATCTTATGACTTCAGTTATTCAAAATTAGGCTCTAACTCATATTTGTTACCATGTGGCTTCTCAATTGCAGGTCATTTGCTATTTTCAGAAATAAGTCTATTTGTAAACATTCTGGGTTTCTGGTTTGCAATATTGCAGTTCTCTATTTTTGAAAATGTATCTCTACAATTGTCATCACTAGGATTTGAACAGGCAACCTTGTGATTTGTGACTTCAAAGCATAACCACTATGCTATCGACCCTAGAGATGTTTTTTATAAAATTAAATATAAAAAAAAATTTATATTTATATATAATTTTAAGAATTTTATAATTTTTTCTTATATAATATATTGTTATTTATAAGTATTAAATTAAAATAATAATAAAAATATATTAATTTAAGATTAAAGTTAAAGTGTAGTGACTTAGTGAAGTAGATAAGTTGTCAACCTCTTAAGTGGTAGATTGTGAGTTCAAAACTCACTAATAGTAAAAATTTGAATAATCATCTATGTAATATATAGACAGTATTATAGCAACAGCATTCTGTTGATTAGTTGGAATAAAATACCTGTAACTATAATTATACTAGCATGACTGGCAGGTCATAGAACATCTGTGTAATCTTGGTTATACAGAGAAATACAAACTAGTACCAGGTGGTGCAAATCTACAATAAGTCTTTGTGTTTGTATAAATTTGTAAAACTGGAAAACTGGAATTTACTTAAAAATACTAAATAAAAAAATAGTACAAATCTTTAACAGTACTACTATAAAGGCTAGACCTAGAAAACAGATACCAATATAAAGAAATCAGGTAGGCAAGAACCTCAGATGAGAGGTACCACCAACCAGGTTATCAAATTTCAGACCAGAAGGAAAGAATATCAGATTGGCCTTAATATACTAAAGACAAATCACAGTTCTTTCAGGCTATCTAAATTGGAAGTTTGAAAACAAAAGCAAAGATATACTAAAAGTACTAAGTATATGCTATAAAGTTATTGCTAAGATCTAAGTGAACTCTGCAAAGATAGCTCTTGTTAATATTCTGTAGAATAAGTAGATAGTTAACAAAAGAGACCCCTTGTGCCTTACTGGTAGATGTTATACTTTGAAATATATAATGGCCTAGAAACTAGTACAAAAAGAATAAGTATCATATTGCTTAAATGATATATTAGTTAGATATATACAAGAAGTTAGTTGAGATTACATAATAACAGGATAAATGATTAGAAAGTTTAAATAGATAATCTTTTAGTAGATTATAAATACAGCATCTAGTGTAGAACCTTAGAGTGGACTACTTAAATAAACAACTAAAAGTTGCATATATGACTAGTTGTACTTGCATCACTGTATAAAATAGTTGTAATAACTAACTAAATAAAAGTTAATAAAGTATTGCCACAAAGTATGACCTTTAATACAACAAAAAAAAATTTAAAGTTAGTATTAAACTAATGTTAGATATGTTTTTAAAAAAAATTTTAAGCTAATATTTTGCAAAAAATTTTTTTAATTAAAATATAATATATGATTTTATATGTTAAATCATAAGTTACAAATGATTATTTAAAAAAAACAATGCTTTATTTTGATTTTATATTATATCTAATCTTGCATTTTAATTGGTCAATTAAGTGTAATGATATATCATTATTGTAATAAATTACAATACTCTAATTTTAAAATAGTGCTTTATCTATTAGTTAATAGTGCAGTAGTTAGTACTTTTGGGTCTTAATCGCAAAGTTATAAGTTTGAGTTCAGAAAGCAACAAAAACTCTGCCAGAATTACAATTAAAAAAGATCTGCAAAGAATTTTTATTTAAAAAAAATAAAGTAAAAACAAGATTTATATAAAAAAAGAATGCAGTAAC